GGGCATTGCAACTGGCCCAGAATGAGGACAGGAGGCCGGGGGTGGGTGGGTGGGTGGAGGCCTGGCGGGAGCCACTTCCCGCTGGTCTTGCAGGGGCCGGGCGTAACTCAAAGCATCATCTCTCGTTGTTCAAGACCCACCCTCCAACGCTACCTCCACCCAACACCCCCCCTCCCCGAAATCCTCTCTGGGTGCCAACCAAGGTGGGAAAAAGGAAGAGAGAAAGGGCCCCCCCTCAACGGCAGCCTTTCTTCCTCGGGGGGCCGGCTGGCTCCCACCCCCTTCCCATGGTGCACTGCCAGGAGATAACAAAACTTTTTTTGGTGGAGATTTAAACATTCTCCAGCTTTACCTGCCCCGCCGGCTCCTATTTTGGTGGCATTCTGTGGTCTGGTTACTCGTTGCCCCACAGGTGCCAGAAACATGGGGCTGGCTTGTCCCTACGAGTAACTGCAAATCAAGGGGAAGTGGAGAGACAGAAGAATCCCCTCTGCCTGCACCGAGGAGGAGGAGGAGGCAATACGGCCCCAATCCTCTTCTGCAGCTGGATCTCAGTGGGGAAAACACACACACACAGTGCCTTTCTCTCTCTCTCTCTCTCTCACACACACACACACAAACACCCACCCACACCCCATTGTATGTCTCTGCGACGCAGCACAAGGCAGTCATATGATGCCCTGGGCGGCCAGCCGGCCGGCCAGAAGCCTGCCTTCTGCAGAGGGCTCAGAGCCAGGGGGCCACTTTCTGACCAGCCAGGCCCTGGGGCTCAGCCACGCCGGCAAGGTCAGCTCAGCTCCAGCCACCTCTGGACAAGGAAGAGAACTCTGCACATGCTCAGAGATGCCTGTGCGTGTCTTCTGTCCAATCTCTCCACGTAAGGAGAACGGTTCCTGAGAAGCCCCGCTTCCCGGAGGGCTGAGGGCTTCTGAAGTTAGCTGTCCCAGCCAGGCCATGAGCGAGCCTTCCTCTGGGGGGGGGTCTCAAGACCCACGCTCTGCCCCACACAGGCCCAGCTTCAGTTCCTCAGCCTCTAAAATGGGAGGAGCAACACCCCCACTGCCCAGTGTTGCTGAGGGAACCGGTAGGGGTGGCCAAGGTTTCGGAATAAAGCAAGGGTTTCCTCTCCTGCCACCCTGGACCCTTCCTCCGCCCTGAGTCTCCCCCCCCTCCCCACACGGTGCCGCTATGAGGGGGTGTAAGAAGGGCTGCTCGTCCTGCTGGCGAGGCTCTGGATCTCTCAGTTCCCCCCCAAAAAACTAGGAATCTCATGCCTCCCCGCCCCTCCGCAACCCCTTTCAGCTCCAGACGAAGAGGAGCCTCTCCCACCAACCTCCCCCTACCGCCAGAGTGGGGGGAACCCAGGCATGCAGAGCGTGAGTTGGGGTGGAGGGCCTTTCCTTGACCTTCAGGAGTGCCCCCCCCTTTTAAAACGGCCCAGTTTCTACTCCTGACACAGGGCACCCCTGGAGATGGGGAGGAGGGGGGGATCGGCAGGGAAACGGTGGGTGAGAACGGATGCCCCCCACACTAGGACAGGGTGCACTCCCAATGCCCCCCTCCCCTGCTCACACTGGAGGAGTCCCTGGCCCCACACGGACAACTACCTGGGGCGCTGGAGGCCCGAAACTCAGCAGCCCTCGGCCTCCCCTACTTGAGCCGCCAGGAGGGCGGGCTGCCGACTCCGGTCTCCTTGGAGGGCTCTGATGGGGGTCTCCAGTGGCTCTAAGTGCCCCCCCATCCCCCCCTTCCCGTTTGTGCTTCTGAGGACAAGCTCAAGAGAATGACAAGGAAGGACTTGGTCATAGGCTGTGCAGTGGTCCGGTGGGATTCACCGCCACAAGATGTTGTGACGGCTACCAACGTGGAGGTCTTTCAAAAGGTCACATTAGGTGGGGGGGGAAGCAGCCACCCAGAGGGCCTGGCTGGCAAGGGAGGGGGCGCGCGCTGCCTCTGGTGCTGGTGGGTTTGCTTGCCCACGGAGCTCCAGCCCAGCCTCAGCGGCTCCCTTCACTCCCTTAGCAGCCACCGTCCCTCCCCAGGGGTGCCCGAGCCGGCTGGTCTTTCCCCAAAGGAGAAACAAACCCGGGGGCTTCTGCCAACCCCAGGTGGGCAACTCGTGAGCCTTCACCACGAGACGTCTCCCTCCGGGGCCCACGTGGAAGGTGGCAGGGCCTCTGGGAAGAGGAAGCTGGCAGCCGGCCTTCTCCTGCCCAGGGCAGAGGCACCCCCATGGAGCCTCGCTGGGCACCCGCTTAGCGTCCCCTGCAGCGGCACGGGGCTTTCCTGCAGGGCTTCTAAACAGGAAGGAGAGGAAAAAACAGCTCCTGGGTGGGTGGAAATCACGGCTGTTGCCTGGCTCCCCGCAGGGCCTCTGGGGCCCACGAGATGGGAAAGAAAAGCGGAAGGCAACCCAGGGCAGAGGCACCCCCATGGAGCCTCGCTGGGCACCCGCTTAGCGTCCCCTGCAGCGGCACGGGGCTTTCCTGCAGGGCTTCTAAACAGGAAGGAGAGGAAAAAACAGCTCCTGGGTGGGTGGAAATCACGGCTGTTGCCTGGCTCCCCGCAGGGCCTCTGGGGCCCACGAGATGGGAAAGAAAAGCGGAAGGCAAAGCCAGCCCACGGCACAGCGTGAAGA